CGGCGATTTTAGGCGGAGTTAGTCAGAAAGAGGAAGGAGGATGGCCGAGGGCTTCGGGGAAAGTGGACGAAGTGCGTTGCAGTACGTTCAAAGCGCGAGAGGGTTGGATGAACGTCTAGGAGGAGTAGATAATTATTAGCTGAGAAGATCGCTGAAGTTCTTCAGCGATCCTTGATTGTTGTCAGTAGTGAAAGACAAGATAGAGATAGCTATATACAATTCGAGATACATCGCCATCAGTAGAACAAAACCCCAGTTAGAGTAACTACGCCGAAGTACGCCGTAGTTACACTCCTTTCGACGTCTGCGCCCTCTCGGTTGGGTGAGACTTCAACTCAGGAGCATCAAGTTAGCCGAGGTTCGTCGACCGTCGGTCTGCCAGAAGATAGTTATTCGACGGCCGTGACAGCTGGCTTGAGAGGCATTCTCAGCCAAAGGGTCTTGCTGCTCCCAGATATCCCTTGCCATGATGGTATTATAGAGAGCTTTAGCTGTTAAGTATAGTTCAGGGGGATTATTACGCTCCCAAAGCAAACAGTCGTCGTCAATAGGGATTGTGTCCCGAAAGTTTGATATGGCTGATATCCTCCTCCCGCTTTTCACACCAAAGACCTGGATGAGTAATATCTCATGGGTCGTGCCAATGGAGCCCGTTCCTCTTACCACTGTGTAATACTGCAGAGTTGGTATGTGGTGGAGATGTTGCGGAAGTGCTACAGACATATTCTCTTCAGTGGTACGATAATTGTATCTCTAGTTGTGTGTGGAGAGAGATGATTGGAAGAGTTATAAGTAGAGGTTTTTTCTCCGTCGCCGCGCGGTCGGGAACCATGATAGCTCGATACATGGTTAGGGGAGGGAAGGGGAGAAACGCAGGGGTGACGGATGGGGTGAGAGGAAAGAGGGGGGAGAATGTGAAGAGGTAGGGGAAGAAAGGACCGATAGGATAAGGCATTATACCTGAGTTTCTTCAGCATTCCTTCGCACTGCCTTAGAATGAAGGGAAGGGGGAACCTCACGAACGTGTCTCCTTCGACGCCACCCGTCCTGCACCTAGCACGAACCAACCTCCCTCGAACAAGACGCCATCGAGAGACGAGAAAGTCGAAGGCCTGGGGATCACGATTGGTCGGTCGAATAAATCTCAGGAGTTGATGGGTGTCATTGTAGACAAAGGAGGTTGTCATGTCATTCAACCCTGTCCTGTGGATTTCGTAACACGTTTTAGTAGTCAGAGGTCAGCAAGCGGCGAGACACAAACCTCACGTATTCTCATTCATCGTCGACAGGTAAATCATTATCCAAACAAACTCGGTAGGGGCTTGATCGCTCTCGGCAGCAACAGGAACGAGAAGGGATACGATTGATATAAGTGAGCAATGTATCATCGGCATTGTCCAATATTCCAGATCTAATTAGATCAACTCTCCCTCCCCTTGTACCATGTCTTTCCCCATTACCATCTCCCAGACGTTCGGTCCGTCGATCTTCTTCCCAACCAGTTGAGTTCCGATGTCCATTGATTGAAGCGTTTCATCTCCATCATGCTCGAGACCGAGTAACCTGCTGAAGAGGTATAACCATCGAGTAACGTTTCCGACCGTCCAGAAATCTTCACTGGTCGCACCGTCATCGGCGTGTACTTTCAACATGGGTTCATCGAAGTTGCGGACAAATTCTTCTGATACGGAATTTGGATCCGTCTTGCGACCATCGAGTTTGCGTTCAGGGTCTAGAGTGCGATGGACAGAGATATTTCCCTGGTGGATATCGTACAGCGTTTGAGCAACGGCATGGGAGTTGGCGGTGGGGACAATCCAACCGTTGATACCGTGTTTGACTTGAAGAGGAATACCTCCAGCGTCCGACACGATGATGGGGACACGTTTGTTCACAACCTGCTGTCTTCAGCAAAGTCTCGCGAAGTAGAATCGATGTGACTTACCTCGGTGACTTTGACCTCGAAACCTTCTCTGAGATGTTTAGCTGGGTCGAGACTAGAGGAGCTTGCTCACCTAGTGGACAATTGTGTTGCTACCCAAGCACCTTGCATAATAGCTCCTAGGATGCCGTCACTTGGAGGAGCACGAACAATCGAGACATCTTCCTTGACCAGAGCGTACTCTTCCGATGCGAGTATCTAACATGTCAGACGGTGCGTATCTGAATTGAGGATGGCTCACGTCGTGTAGTTTCTCACTAAGAAAGGTTAGTAGGAGGTCTCCCGGCAGCGGGAAAGACTCACTAAATGCGTGTGCCATCAGGATCATCGACGCTCCCGTGTCCCATCACAATGAGATGAGGCCCTCCACCCAGTGGAGGTGGGTCGAGTTTCATCAACTTCTGTCTGAACTCCAGGTATGCAGCGAGCAGGTATTCCAGCCCTGACATGTTAACATCATCACTCAGCCAATCATCGATCAGCATACCTTTACTGGGGTCGAACCTTGCAACCTGACATATATATCCTCTATCCCAGTCTACGGTTATGCCGCATTGCTTGGCCGACAACGAGTTGTAGTATTGCCTGAAGTAATGTACTGAGCGCTCTCCGTAAGGCTTGTTCAATCCATCCAATGGACTAAAATCAGCAGCGTACAAGTTACCAATAGACCAGCTCACTCGGTAGAGGGTGCCATATACAAAACAGCCATATTGTCATGTACATTCTTGGGTACGAAAAACTTGACAGGATGCTGTTGCAGTTAGCATGTACGTGGCTGGGATGAGGCTCACTCACCGAGAGGAAAAGATCAGCATGTTTGACGTAATTGTATAGGTAGTTCCAAGTCCTCGCCTGAGGGGTAGAGGGATTATCGATGAGATCAGACTGCACTGGCTGGATCAGCTGGGTAACGCCGGACGAAAACGGTGACGCACGCTGGATATGCGAACGGAAAATGATCTTGGTGTTCGGACGTTCCCTCTTGATGATGGGGATCATTGCGGTGACTTTCATTCAGCTGGGCCTTTCAGGACTTTGCGGGGAAACTTACGCTGAGGGTCGTCGATCACGATGACATCTGCGTCAAGGGCGCCTTTAGTCCAGAATGCTTCGTCTGGGAGGTTAGCCACAAAATTGTTCGGACTCTATTATTGTACTAACAGTTTTGTCTGGTCCAAATCTCGAACCAGCGCTTATCCTCATCACTCATCTCCATGCCTTTCTCGGCCACACCTTGTAGCACATTGTGAATTTTACGTTTGGTGATGTCGAAGACTACCGGGTGACCCTCGGGGACATACCTTCACTGTCAGCCACGCATAGGGAGTCGGACTCACCAATTGACTTTGACTCCAACCATACGCAATAGTCTGATGAGAGCATGACGCATAAGAGCTACACCGCCGCCTACACGTCAGCTCCATTTGACAGAACTTTTCCAGAGCGGAAATACCTTGAGGGGTTGCCGAGAAAAACGCAATAGAAATGTCTTTCTCCCGCAACTGCGTGGCAAGTGCGGTGAAGCGTTTCCACAGCTGAAGATCAGCGATGTACCGAGTGACCATGCTCATAGCTCACTTCTGGGCTAGTGCTCTGCTGGTATTGTACGATGCTGCATAGGCGGACTTGACGGTTACAGTCGACCTGCACATGATGGTCGACCGGATCCAGTACCGCCGTGGTGGCCGTATGTGTGGCCTGGGTATCAGCAGATGATCCGCGGATCGGACAATTTCGCTCACTGGATGCAGATGCAGAATGGCAGCGGAAATGGCAGACGCAGCGCTTGCTGCGGTTGACGGGGCTGGGAGCTCTGTAAAGATGGACGTAGAAGGTTTGATCAGAAACCTAATCGTCAACAGATATTCATGTTTCAGAGGAGGGCTGGGAAATGGGAGGGACCACATACGGGACCGCGTCGAGATGAAGCCAAATGGTCGCGAAGAACTCGACCCCTTGATTCCCCATGAGCTGATGAGGAATGGGCTCAGCGACAGCTACCACACATACCTAATTGTTAACAACCAGTTCATCACATAGTTACATGCGCCTGCTTTTGACTGCGCTGATAGGGCATCCAAGCAAGCACCATTCCCTGGCATGGGGGTGGAGAGACAAAAGGGACGGGGGGGTGACTCACTTTCGCATTCCTCTCATTCTCATACTCCATGATCCTCTCTAAAACCTTTCGACTAGCAATCTGAACCTCGCCTAAACTCTCCTCGTCGCTCAATTCAAGACGAAAAGGCAAGTGCCACTCCTCACTCTCAACCACACCCGTACCATCATGCAGCACGGCAGTGTATTCCAAATCACCGGGTTCATTCGGGTTCTTGGGGGAATGAAGGGTGAAGGCGAGACCGAGGAAGACATCGTTGATTTGTGAAGGATGGCGTTGAGAGACCTTTGACATGCGCCGGTGAGGCGACATGATGTAAGATAGATTTTGAATGAATGTCGAAATTTCTGAAAGACCCTTGGGGGAGGTACTCTGATATATATGTTGGACAAGTGGGGGATGGATCGGGTCGGGCGGAAGATGTCGGGGCGAGTGAGATACTGTAGTAGGGGCTGTGTATAAGGCGTAGTCCTGGTAGCCAAGGAACAGACGTCCACTCCGGGCACCACCCTAGTCTCGTCCGGGCACCACCTGCCACACTCAGGACGTTCAGGCACGTACCACCGGGATTTCAGTAACGCCGACCACGCGACGGATATGGGCTAGCCACTGATCGGGGTTACTGAAATCCCGCCACCTCTGCTCACTCTCCTCTTACATCGTCAATGTCATTATCTTCAATGTCATTATTAGCTATACCATGTCATTCCCGGCCATTGTCCATGCATTATCCTATCTATCAATGTCCAGGAGGATAATACAAGCCACAAGAGAATATCACAATTGCTCTGTAGGAAGTTATAACGATTTGATGGGTGGTAGTCAGGGAGGGCGCAGGTTGAGAAGGCGAAGGGCCAGAAGTCGGTGTAAAATAGTCGTAAAAGAGTGAGAAGAGTATCAAAATGATACTTGAGACAAGCGGAGACCGTGTGTGTGAAAAAGAGCGTGAGTTTACCAGTAAAATGACGATAAAGAGATTAGTGGTGGTGAAGACAGGTTGGTAGGTAGCGAGCAGACATGTCGCGTCGTGGTGGTCGGCGTTACTGAAATCCCGGTGGTACGTGCCTGAACGTCCTGAGTGTGGCAGGTGGTGCCCGGACGAGACTAGGGTGGTGCCCGGAGTGGACGTCCAAGGAACAAGGAGTACAAGTGACACACGTTGTTCCAACGTTGAATGACGACCCCAGTAACAAGGATCCTGAATGTTGAGAAGGGGGCACCACCCGATCAGGGTCACCCCATCCAGACCGCCGGGCCGCCGCACGACCCGAGGATCTTCGGAGGCCTAGTGAGGCGCATCTAGGGCGGAGCCACGTGATTCCTACGTCATCGCTTCACTCTTGAGCGGTTATCGCCGCCGGCAACTGGCCACTCCCGAATGCTGTTCTTTTACGTTGCGCTTGCAGTACCGTAGCTTACTTGATCTCTACTATACTTTCAACATGTCAGATCAGAAGCAAGGTCAGCAATCTCTTTGTGGATAAATGAGAAAGACTGACATCCAGTCATAATACGTTTCCGTAAATCAGCGTCGGAAGAAGAGAAGCAACATGTTCTCGAGTCTCTCAAGGCGAAAGGGGCAAAGGTAGTCAATACGGACAACGTCGATTCACAGTGTAAGTCCCTTATTCTCTGAGCCAAGAGACTTTACAGCAATTCACACTGATTACAGTCTTTCCTTTTGTCGTCGTGACGTTGCCAGAGAATCAATATGGTGCGCTTGCCCAGGACTTCTCAAGTGGCGACCACCCGGTCGTTCAACACATCGGTACGTCATTCTTCCCCCCTTTTGTTTCCCGGTTGACATGTGTTATGACCATGCATCCTACTCTTCATTCCAAGGCTCGGGTACAAGCTGACTCCACAGAGGAGGACCAAAAGGTATCCATCCAATAGCCCTGTATGCCCTCGTATGATCCGATCAAGTATGACTCCATGCTACGCAACATCACCGCCTTTGACACACGCTCAAAAAGTGACATCGACTTTTTATGCATCCTCGAATCGCCTCGCATATTCTTGGTGATGTCGATTAGCTTCCCATAGCATCTCAGCTCCTACTATCCCTCCCCCGGGGCCAAAGGCTATCCCGCATGCTTTTGCCGCAGTGCTAAATGCTTCTACGCACCTCGTCAAGGAGTTTCGGGATATATCCCAGGCGACTGTCAGGGCAAGAGTCTTGGCTGCTTCTGCTGCGACTACGGCGAGAACGGGATGATCTGCAGGGTAGACTTGACGGGCACCTTGGCAGTACGTCTCATAATATCCCACGGCTTTCTCCACGTCTTGCGGAGTGAGTTTGACAGTCGTCCGAGCGGCTATTCTGAGAAGCGGGAGGAGTGGCCAAGAGGAATGAGGGATGATTCCTGATAATCCCGGTATGAGTTCTTCTGTGAGCAGGGGAGTGACCGAGGTATCTAGACAGTGAGATCTTAGATTAGCGTACGGGACAAGAGAAACTCACCTAGTCCTTGTCGATCGTCCTCGTCGAGCATAGCCTGCCCCTCACGGACCAGATTGGAAATGTGACGCCAGTTGGTTTGGAACACTGTTTGACACGCGGTGCATTGGACATTCCAGTCCCTTGGTATTTGAACTTCACCTCGGGAATTCACCAACGATTAGCCATCTACCCATGGATAGACAAGCAGCTTACGGTCTAATTTAGCTCCGCCAGGAGGTACTGACTTGCATTCCCTGTGTATCAGGATTGATCGTGGGTCAAGAACTGGTTTGTCCCCGTCCTTCGTCCGATTGTCACAAGTAGGACATTTACATTCGAAGTGATACGTTCGTCTCAATTCGGCTTGTCTTTGTGCATATGGTAGAGCTAAGTCGACGTAATGGGTCAACACCTGTATAATAGTCAATTATCGGCCGAAGCGGCTGGCCCGCAAATGGACTCACTTCTTCACCTGCTTCAATGGCTTTGATAGCCACTATACGCATACTATCCGCTCCTTCAGGGAATACGACGACAGCATTGGGAGAGCAAGAATGGTTGCTCATTGCCATAGCTGGGTTCAAGGCTGCACCAACCAAGTCTAAGGATGGGGATGAGGCGGAGAACGTGTTGATCATGAACTGCACATCAGCAACACTTTAGCACATGAGCGGGGAAGAGATGACCTGTGCAAAAAGTCTGCTGAATAAGAGTGACTCACGGAGGATATAACTTGTAGGATAGAGCCCGTTGATTTGTTGAAGATCGAAGTGAGATCCAGTGATGGGTTTTGTGGATCAAAATTGGGTAACCCCATAGCAATGAACATCATGACTGCTTTCGATATTCTCAAACATTGCGCTCTATGCTCTTCGATCTGTTTCTCCAACTCTTTATCGCCCTGGAACGTGGTCTTCAGATCTGTAGTGGTCAGTCGTAAGTTGAGGAAAGGCTCGTATGTCACTCACGGTCCTCTAGTACCTTCATAGCGTTGATCTGTTCTCTCAGCGAGGTTTCGGTGTAGAATAGTCAATAATTCACTCTACTATGTTTGTCACTCGTTCCAGAACGCTCCGTGTGAAATGACCATGCCAATCTAGCTAAAGCTCTAATGTGCTCTGGTGGTACCGAAGCAGCATCAGCTACCTGCTTTGACATCCTCAAAGCTCGACATTCATAATCATGCAATGACCTGTCCTTGGTTGCACAAGACTGAGCTATCAGCTCACGTCACACAAAAAAGTTCAAAGTCACTCACACTGCTGCAATAAGCAACGGTTTCACATACTTCACATCTCTCTAGCGGACTAGGATCTAGTGATCGCCGTGATATGGAAAGTTCGAGGGGAGAAAGCAAGCAATACGAGCAACGCTCAGGTAGTTGAGGCGTGGACAAAACCGACACAAATGGTGGGCGAGTAAGGACAACAGAGCCTGAAAGTTAGCCATTCATCATCATTTTTTTGTGAGACGAACCTTGCGCGAACCTCCGCTTGGCAAATAGACCCCTTCTACCATTCATGATTTTCACCTCCACGCCTTCCTTGTCCATTTCAAGCACTGTGTTGACATGGACAAGATCATTTGTCTCCCTGCTCTTAGAAGGACCAGGGGCTGTTTCGACGACATCCAAATATCCCAGTGGAGGTGAACAGGAAGGTGATCTTGACCTTCTCGAGCCCGACGAGATCGGAGAAGAGGGAGGTGAAGGAGCTCTGGGAAGATCAGGTAAGAGTGTAGGAGTTTTGAAGTCTAGGGGCTTTAGGTGAGAAGATTCAGACGTAGAAGACTTTCCTAGAGCCCATCGATCGATAAAAGGATTGAAAATTTCGAGAGACTTGAAGGTAGCTGGCAAAGACTCCCCGTCCGCGGGGAGGGAATTGACTGGAGGCTCTGGAGAAAGGGTCTTGGGCGAAGAGGAGAATGAAGGGGAGGAGTGAACGACGGCGGAGATTCGTTTCTGCTTCTGAGCTTTTAGCTGGGAGAAAGACGTCATACTGCTCTGATTTCGATGATGGAGGGTACAGGTTTGCAAGCATGACAGGGCGGTCAGAGATCGAAGAGTTCATGGGAGGAAGGAGTTTGAAGGAAAGTGGGGGCAATTCCCCACTTTTCAGTTGTGGCAGTTCAACGAAAGTGGCATTCCCCACCTTCAGCAACCTCAAAGCCTTGGGTGACAAGACGGAATATGCGTGACCCTGTCTCTAGCCTATTTCCGTTCATATCGTTCTTTCTTTCTTCAACCCGCGGACCAATGAAAGGAGTAAGTTGTTGATGCTCTTTCAAACGGTCCACAACTCATACGCGAACGGACGAGGGTGGAGGGGAGCGTGCCAGGTTTCACTCTGAGGCTGGGTTTTCTATGACCTATCTCCTTTCATTCTGAGTGAAAATTTATCATCCTGACTTTGAAAACTGCTTACTAAACTAACTAACAAATTTTTCAAACACAGTACTTCTTTCTCTCCCCTCTCTCTGACAACCACAAGCCATGAGCCAAGGAGCCGGATCTTCACCACACTCACACGACGTCAACACGGTATTCACTCGAGACGCCAGTTTGGGATGGCTGAGTTCTATAAACCTCCAAGTCAAGGTAGGAAGTACCCAAGGGTTGACCTATTTGGTTGTGGCTCCAAGGGAAGATGAATCCCTCACTGATTCCTCCATGAAGCGGCTGCAGGTGGCCGTGCTTTCCTTACAAGCTTGGGGAGGTCTTCCCCTTAATTCCCCCCCTTACCAATCAACAATGCAAGAGCTGAGTGAGGCTGAAGTGATCACGGCTTGGAAACGTACTCGTGGGAAACTAGAGTCTTTAGCACAAGAGATCCAGACTCTGCTACAGTCTGGTACAGTCTTCTCTGAGAAGAACGTTCTCCTTGAGTTAGGAAGCAGGATCCTTTGCAACATGACTATGGCAGTGTATAGTGCTAGTGTTGCATGGCTTGCCTCAGTCAAGAAGCCACAAATGGTGACTGTTACACAAGAGACTTCCCTTTCACCTTCCTCACCTGATGCTGAAGGACAGTTCAGTGGCCCGGCAATGAGTGGAACTGAAGAAGTCAGAGTTGTACATCCTCTCCCAGCAAAACCATCCAAACATTTACGCAGACGAAACGCACTTGAGACGGGAGAGTGGTGGGTTCCCAGGGGATTGAGGGATGAGTTCCTGTCCGGCTTGGGCGTGAGGAGGACTCTCTCAAGAGATCAGTTTGAAGTATTGACCACGGCTGAGAAGAGTGGTACCTCTGTCAGTGATGGCCAATTGACAGTGGGAAATGTCACTACCTCGTCTCAATCAAGCAAATTTCAGTTCATTTACTACTGATACCTGTGTCCAGAGCTTGTGATGTATATACATAGAATGCGGACTTGATTCAATAAAAGCAAGATGATACATATTGTCACCTTTCTCTAAGAGCCTCATAATGACTTCTCAGTGAAACATGGCAGGAGCCATTCCTCATGTGGATACATGTCAGGATCACGGGTACCTAAGTCGGGTTCCTCAGAGTTGGTTGTACTCCCTTTATGAACCTTCCGAGTCTGGGATCCATGTATCAGAAACCCCCGTTCGGCTGTCTTAGGATAGGAGCTTTTCAGTCGTCCAATAGTTTTATTCGAAGCCGGAAGGCCAACTAAAAGAGGTGTGAGAAGGTCCAACAAAGTCTTCCTTCTGTTAGGGCCTCCATGTTGGAATAACGCCACATACGGTGTTATACGGATATTCGGAAGTGGAGCGGATGTTTATAGAATGTTCCATTTCATCTCTTTCGATGCATCTCGTTTCTTCATCGTAAACGTAAACCTCAACAGATTAACAGTCGGATAACTGCTTGTCACGGCCCTCGAGCAACTACTTCCTAATAGACCGACGGTCGACGAACCTCGGCTAACTTGATCCTTATGGATCGATGTCTCACCCAACCGGGAGGGCGCAGACGTCGAAAGGGGTGTAACTACGGCGTACTTCGCCGTGGTTACTCTAACTGGGGTTTTGTTCTACTGATGGCGATGTATCTCGATTTGTAAATAGCTATCTCTATCTATCTTTCACTACTGACAACAATCAAGGATCGCTGAAGAACTTCAGCGATCTTCTCAGCTAATATTATCTACTCCTCCTAGACGTTCATCCAACCCTCTCGCGCTTTGACGTACTTCAACGCACTTCGTCCAACTTCCCCGAGCCCTCGGCCATCCTCTTCCTCCTTCGACTAACTCCGCCTAACATCGCCGCACTTCTGCTCCCATTGTCCCTACTTAGCCTAACTCCGCCTAACATCGCCGCACTTCTGCTCCCATTGTCCCTACTTAGCCTAACCCCGTCTAACTTCGCCGTACTTCTGCTCCCATTGTCCCTACTTAGCCTAACTCCGCCTAACATCGCCGCACTTCTGCTCCCATTGTCCCTACTTAGCCTAACTCCGCCTAACATCGCCGCACTTCTGCTCCCATTGTCCCTACTTAGCCTAACCCCGTCTAACTTCGCCGTACTTCTGCTCCCATTGTTCCTACTTAGCCTAACTCCGCCTAACATCGCCGCACTTCTGCTCCCATTGTCCCTACTTAGCCTAACTCCGTCTAACTTCGCCGTACTTGGTGTCAGAAGTCCTGAGTTACGTGTAGAGTAAAGAGGTTAAGGCGTGATGGGGTTTTGATGGCCAAAGGAGGGTCATTGTTGGTGGAGTAATCGAGGTGTCACGACGTAGTTCGTGACAGTCGCCCCCTTCTTTAGCCGCGAACGTCCTCGTGAGCGATTACACCTCTGTCGTGGCAAGAGAACTTAGCAGCGTAGTACCCCCATTCTCTCCCTCCCCATGACCATCCTCCACTCTTCTGCTCTTTGCGCCGCACTTCGTAGTTGGGCCTCCTTTCACTCCAGAACCCGACAATGAGACTCCCCTAACTTCGTCGAGGTTTGCCGTAAGAAGCCCTGTGTCTTTTGTAGGTGAGACACGCTTCCTGAATGGCAGCCGAACAACACCGTTGTTTGTCGAAGTAACCCTCGCTTATATTGAGATGAGACACTATAGCGTGGGAATTTTGATCGTCCCTGCGATGCCTTTTGTTGATGAAACGCGAAGTTTGCTGCATGTTGACGACGAGGGGTTAGGTTTGATTATACTAAATACTGAGCAGTTCGTCGAGCTTCTCTCTTTTTCCCATCTGCTTTCAAAACTTTCTATCTCTCTTACCTAGAAAACAGATTTGTTACCTTGAATCATCGCCTCGAGTTTTATTCTCATTTAAATATCTTAACGTCATGGCCCCTTCTACTCCTACACCCAGCCCTTTCGCCGCCACGAGGAACTTTGGTGGTATGGTGTCATCTGCTCGTGACTTTTCATCGATACTCGCCCTACCTCGCCGAACTTGGCTGATGTTCAGTTTCTTTCGGCGACAGATCTCGCCAAGTCTCCTCCCTCGGCCTCGGCACTCTCTCTCTGGGGGAGCCGTCTGGCGCTGCCCCGCCCCCTCGCTCCGCCTCTCCCTCCGCTGGTTCTCCCTCCCCCGTGTCTGGTTCTCCCGTCCCCGTAACGGGTTCTCCTGGAGGGCCTCCTCCTGCCGCCACTCCTCGCCGTAGGACGCCCGCCTTTCGTCCTGGTGAGTCTCCGTCCTCCTCCGACCAGGACTCGCTCAGTGGGGGCTCGGAGTCGGGTGATCGACCCGACACCGAAGAAAGTGAGGATGATGATGATGGGGAGGGTAGGATCGATAGTGAGGGTGAAAGCGAGTTAGAAGAATACCCGGATGATGATGTGGAGGTGATTAGTGTAGAGGACAACAACGTAGATAGTCCTGAGCGTGAGTTCTTCGTCCAACCCCTCACACCTTCGCCGAACTTGGCCTTGTTTATCTGTTCTTTAGCTCTCCAAGACATTGCTAACTCGCAGCCGGTCCTGCCCCTCCCCCTGCTCAAATTGTGGGCCAGAAACGACGCCGTTCCCTCTCTTCTTCTTCTTCTTCCTCTTCTTCTTCTTCCTCTTCTTCTTCCTCTTCCGGGGTTCTCCCCCCCCCCAACGCCATCGCCGCTGCTGCCGCCGCCCGCCCTGCCGCCGCCCCCGTCGCTGCTCCCCCCCCTTCTCCCAGAGGGGAGCCTTCGCCCAAACGGGTGAAGAGATCACTGCGGGAAGAAGAGTACTTGTGGGAGAAGATGAAGTCCGAGCCTGGTCGTTGGATCGCGGTTGGTGTTGACGAAGCGTGTGATCGTTGCCGGTGAGTCCACCTATTCGTTCTACGCCGAAGTTACTCCTGCTAATTAGTAGACGTGAGATTATCACGTATAATCGTCCAAACTGGCCCTGCCTCAAGGCAGTCAGGCCACACAACAAGGCCCTCCGTTGTGCTTCATGCACGTCTGGCCCCTGCTCCTTCTGTCCCGTTTCCTCTGCCCGGGACATCCCGCCCCGTCCCTTCGACGCTTCTCCTCTCCCCCCTCCCCAGACTCCAGCGTCTGTCCCCCGTTCGCGGGTACCGTCTTCGTCTCTCCGGTCGGTTCGCCGAACTTCGCCGTCCTCCCGCTCGTCGCCTCCCTCGCCCTCGCCCTTTGTTCCTGTGGCCGGCCCGTCGCGTCTCCCGGCTGCTCCTCCTTCGTCCTCCCGTCGTCCTTCGACCTCTCGGCCCTCGGGCTCTCGTCCTTCGGCCTCTCGTCCTTCGGCCCCTCGTCCGTCCTCTCCTGTGGTGGCTTCTCCTCCGGCCCACAGCACCCAAAGTCGCCGTCCTTCTGCTCCTCCGGCCACCCCAGCGGCCGCCCCTGTCACCGAGTCCCCCGCTGCCAAGAAGACCCCGAAGTCTTCTTTAAAGAAATCAAAAGGGAAAAGGAAGGAGAAAGAGGTCGTCTTTGAAGCTGGTGATGTGGAAGATGAAGCTACTCAGCGTGCTGGGCCCTCTGTTCCTCGGTTGTCCTTCGTCCACCCTCGTATCTCCCTGGACCCTCGTATCCCGGAGGACGAGAAAGAATTTGCTACGTATCGTTCTCTCGTTCTCGGCCTCACCACTCAGCTTGACGTCGCTCGGCGTGATACATCTCTCTTGCTTGACTTCTCCACTCGTCAAGCCAACGCCTTGAATAACCTTACTGCGGCGTTAGTAGATGTAGTCAACGGTGGAAATCTGAACGAGGAAGCAAGGACGAGGTTAGCGGACGTCTCTCGCCGAAGCCTTACTGAGATAGCCGATGTTCGCCGAAGACTTTACGACACCCCCTTCCTCGTTACTCCTATGGCGTACGAGCCACCACCGTCCATCGGCTGGTTAGGCCCCCGGAGTAGTTCTCGAGTTCCTGCCTCTGCTCAGACTGCTCTCGATCTCCTCAGCCTTCCTTCCGAGTGTCTTAGGACCATACGTTCTCTGTGGAGGACTCCGAGCATGCAAGCTGCTCGGGATGTCCAGGACTTTGGTGATTTCTTTGGGGCTATGAATCGGGCATGGAACGCTTCTCTCTCGACTGTCTTCCCCCCTGACAGTCTCGATCTACCTTCGGCCATCGGTACTCTCCACACCAATCTCGCGGGGCCGAGTAGCGCGAAGGAGAAAGGAAAAGGAAAGGGTAAGGGTAAGGGCAAGTGAGCGGTACGTAGCTGTAATCCTATGTTGTATGCAGTACGTTCTACCTCCTAGCCCTCCGCAGTCGCCCTTCCTTCGGCTTAGTAGGATGAAGTTCGTGGAACTTCGCCAATATGTCATCAGCTCCGTCGACGTTCTCTACTGGTTCCCATGATACCGAATCGTCTGTTCCTTCGTAACCTAACCACTCTACCAAGTACTCTAACTTTCCTGATCTTTTATTTACTCTAGAGTCCACAATGTCCTTTACTTCCCACGATTCTCCTACGTTATCTACTTCTACTGGGCCAGGTGGTTCAGCTTGCTGACCAGGGAATACTGGAGGATGATAGGGGCGAAGCAACGAAACATGGAATACATCATGGATACCTGCCATCGTTCCTGGTAATTCCAATTTACAAGCATGAGAACCTACCTGCCGTACTACCTTGTACGGCCCACTTTGCTTCACATCTAACTTCTTCATTGGTCTTTTAGTCTTGATGTTCTCTAACGACAGCATCACTAGGTCACCTTCCACGAAGTTCAGCGTAGTTCTGTGTTTCTTATTGTATCCTTCGGCGTACTTCTCATTAGCCTTCTCAATCCCCTCAATACATTCCTTATGTATTTCGGTTAGGTCTTTTACTGCTATTGTAGCAGCAGGTACTTCGACTTCACTAGCCTTAATCTCTTCAGCCCATCGAGGGTGGTACCCATAGTTCGCGTAGAATGGGGTCTTGTTTATCGCGGAATGATGGGTGTTGTTATAAGCAAAGC